ATCTCTGCATCACTTACAGATTATCCAGAACGCAGCAGCTCGTCTTTTAACAGGTACTAAAAAGCATGAACACATAACCCCGGTCCTGGCTTCTCTCCATTGGCTTCCTGTTCACCTGTGAGCTGATTTTAAGATTTTATTGATGGCTTTTAAAGTTKTTAATRGTCTAGCCCYRTCATATTTATGTGATCTTCTCACCATCTGCACTCCAGTCAGAGCACTCAGGTCWACCAGTTCCTGTTRGATGTTCCTAGATCCAAACTGAAAGCTAGAGKTGACCGGGCTTTTGCAATAGCTGCTCCAAAGCTGTGGAACAGTCTGCCTCTTACTATTCGATCAGCAGAGACTGTTAAGGCTTTTAAATCTCTGCTGAAGACCCATTTATTTTCTTTGRCTTTTGATTRAGACCGAGTTGGAGGTTCAGTTAGAGCTTTTTCATATATTGTATTGTGTTTYTGTATTTGTATCTATTATTTGTTTTTTGTTTTTTTGTTGTTTGTTTGCTTTGTTTTGCTTTTTGATATGTCCTGACTGAACTGTGAAGCACTTTGGTCAGCTTTTGTTGTTTTAATGTGCTATACAAATAAATTTGACATTGACATTTGACATTGACATATTTTAGTGTTAATGTTTTATTCCAAAAATGCAAAAAGCATAAAGCCATAAAGCAGCAGAAAAGGTTAATGAAAAACAAAACTCTAACACGCAGTGTGTAGCACGCTCCTGCACTGTGAGGATGTGTTGTTCGGTGTCTTGTGTTCTGTCTCCCTCTTTTGTTCTCTTTGATTGATAAGTGCCTTCTGATCTAGGAGGGACAGTCTGCAGACAGTTTGGAACTGATAACCTCTGATAACAGCCATTTAATGGACGGACAACCTTCCATTCGAAGCTGGTGGTTCCTGAATGCAACAGCTTCTCCAGCCCGTGTTGAGCTGTCAATCATGATTCTGCACCCACAGTCATCCGTCATCTTTGCCTCATTCCAGATGTCAAAAATTGGTTTATGACTAGAATTAGTTAATTTAAATATCTCTATTATTTATTGACTAGGCAAAATACCTATGTATATTTATGTTTAAGAAATACCTAATATCTCTAATTATATTCTGACTGACTTGTATAAGTAATGTCCGATGCACCATTAAGTTGCATGGAGGCTGTTCAAGTTAGCTGACATAAATTATTGACCTGAAACATATTTATGATTTCTGCAATAAAACATGAAGGGAAAAAAACGTTTGTTTTTTTGTGAGACCACAAAACTTTAGTARGCGCCCTTAATGTGATTCCCTCTTGCTCAGTGCTCGACTCCCACAGCTCCCATCTTCAAGATCACAGCAGTAATCTCTCATCGTTCAAAGTATTTATGGGTTAAAACACTAGTGTTAGCTGGTCTCTGTTAGGGATGGAGGTTTACAGATTCAGAGCAGAAGACTCAGACTCTGCACAGAGGAAGCAACATTCACTGTGCTTCTCATGGGAGCTCACTAAAATAAAGGACATCCTGTTTTTGGTCCGTGTTCCTGTAGGGCTTTGTTCTGTTCAGCTTTGTTCAAACAGAAGCAGTGAAGCAGCTTTTAAAATCCTAATTGCTTACAATATTTGTTCTCTTTTGCAGGAAGTGATGTCAGTAGAGCAGGAATCAACTTCCTGTTACTGCCTTATGGACTCAAGCAGCTGCCACCTGCTGCTGGACCGACCGGGCTCATACGCCCTGGTTGGGGAGCCCCTGACACAGGCTGCYGTGAAAAGACTGAAGCTGGCCGTGTTTGGGAGCTCAGAGGCGGGCTCCTTGAGCTACAACCTGCGCGTGTACTGTGTGGATGACACGCCACATGCCTTTCAGGTGGGGGTTAAAATGACAGTTAAAATGTCAGTGTGGACTATTAAATTTACTTGTTCCTGAATGCACCATACACATCATTTCCYCTGTGTTGCTATTAAAAATGTGTATTAATACAACGTTTTTCATAAGTACAGATTGCATCACTATGTTTCATCTAAGATGAAGGAACAGGTCTAACAGTCATGGTTCATCTTTAACTTGGCATAACAAAAAATGTGAAGCTGAGGGTTTTTTTTACATTTAATCTGATATTAATATAGAGATTTTAATGCAAATAAAAGAGAATACATTTAATAATAGTGTGAACACTGATTTCTGATCAGACGCAACAAAAATTATCCATCTAAAAATAAGTTTAAAAAAATACTAGTCTAGAGTCTTAATTTTCTCAGATTATTAATTAATAATCTGCTGTTTGACAGTTGCACTTGGTAAGACTTTTTGAAATAAATAAAACCTTTTATGCTAATAAGATTAATATTTTAACGTTTTCTGATCTTGCTTAGAACTGTATATCAGTCTTAAAACAAGATTAAAATATATTTAAGCTGATATAAGCTTGTAAGACTTGATTAGATGAACAGTTTCTGCAGTAAAGTGACTCTACTGCTTAGAAGATTAAATAAGCTCAGCTTTAAACCTGATCAGGACCAGCTTAGTTTGGAAACATAAGTGATTCCTCTTTTGTGCAAACAAATCTATAATTAATCAATCCAGGATTATACCAAAATCCCTGTTTAATCCATTATCCTAGTTTYGTGCAACAGGTCATAGGACTATACTATTACTACTGTTACTATATAAATAAATGGATGGATGTTTGGAGTCTTTACAAGAWAACATTACATCAGTTATGTCCTACAAGTCACAAGTCACCACCCTCTGCTCAAACTGGGAAGAATTTATTCATGCATATTTGCAGGATTAAATTCTTTAATGCTTCATGTTAAGACACACGTCTGCACCTCCTTTTTATTATTTTGATCTTCAGAGCATTTGTTTTCATCTGATGCGCTTCATGGAGCAGAATCTTCACAGACAGCTGTCGGGAGAAGCACAGACAGGCTGCTGCTTCTGTGCTGGATCTGTTGTCACTTTCTAACCAGCTGCCTGGTTTTACTTTCACATCAAAGTCATCAACACCTCCAAACAGAAAGAACAGATCTATCTAGTTGAGTCGGGCCACCAATCAGCTCAATCACAGGATTTACTGAAACACAGCGGTACGTCTTGTGCTATTTCCTTTAGTTTTAAACATTCAAATCAGTTCAGTTAAATTGTTTAACTCACATTCACAACGAAGTCATCTCAGGTCACTGTACGTAAACATCCATGTATATTCTAAAATGTCAGAAAGCCTAACTTTGTCACAATCCTTCTGACAGCGTAGCACATTAACAACTTCATTTCACCAAAAAGAAACCTCCAACAGAACCAGGACCAGGCTTAACTAGCTGAGGGTTAGAGAAGTCAGGAAGAGGACACAGATGACAGAATAACTGGTTCAGGTTTGGTTTCTGTGGTCCATGTGTATTTTTTGTGGGGAGTAAGACAAAGAAAAACACAGTTAAATGATAGTAATAATTACAGCAAGTAGCCTGCACCAGTACTGCTGTGTACCATCACTGCAAAGAATGTCGGACACATTTTCATGTCATCTCCCAACTTGGAATCCTAAGAGATTTGGATTAAACAGTGGACACTGTTCACGTTTTGCACACTACTGAAGAAATTTATTGGGGTTTGCTTATACAGAGATTTTAATTACACTTCGCATGGTATATTCTTTTTATTAGGAGAACAGTAATATCTTTTATAATGATGTTATTTGTTTGACTTGATGATTTTATGTAGATTCATGCCTGAACACAGATTCAACACATAACTGAACCACTGGTCTTCATTAGGCCAGAGAATATTGTGTGAGGATATGACTCCAGCATTGTTAGGAGGACATTCCTGATGATGYAATAAAATAGGCGGAGTCATGTCCTGAAGATTTTGTTATATTGAACTGACTTCTGGAAAACAATCACAGACTGTATGGAACTCTCTTGGTGCCAGACAAAAAAATCTCTCAGGAAGGATTCAGCTCTTAGATGACAACGAATGGCCAGAATTACAGAGAAATGCTTTTTCTCCACCAGCAAGGAGAAGAAAGCAGCGACAGGTTGTAATCAAAACACCTGATAACAGCCAGAGAAATGCATACATGTCAACTTGTACGGATTGTCCGTAAGTTATAAGGATCTTATGTCATTTTGCAGGTATTTGGACATATAGAGCAATCTCACAGATTTTTTCAAGTCTTACGGATATTTTAAAAACCTCATTTTCAAATTTATCTAACATGTCAGAGCCAATAGGATGATGTAAAAAAAACAACATCAAACAGCCATCTTTTAACCTGTTCTGCTGCTAGAAATAAGTTTTGAACTTTTTCCGCTCTCCTCTCCTCCTTCATGTCCGGAGCCGACAGACCCCCCCCCCACACACACACACACACACACACACACACACACCCTCCCAGCAGGTGCGAGTCGTACGGAATTTTTGCAAAATTTACGGATTTTTATACAGGTAAACGTCCAAAGAGGTTGACATGTATGGGAATGAAGACAGAGTGTTACGGTTGAGCTTAGTTGGTTTGAACCCCAGGATGCAAGACTGAGTGAGGGTGGTAAAAAAGGTTTATTAAAACAAAAACAAAGGTGCTGACATGGCAGCAAACAAGAACAAGGTCTTGGGACAGGAACGTGAACATCCAACAGTAAACAGAGAACAAGGATCTGACAAAGACTGAGGACAAAGGACAGAATATAAAGGAAGAACTAATGAGGTAAAACAAGAAACACCTGGGCAAGAAACATGAGGATCAGGTGTGAGTGGGCGGGGCTAGAGCAAAGGCAGACAGGAGGAAGAAAACAGGAGGAAAAGACAGAAAACTTAGACTAAATCATAAGCACAGACACAAATCATAACACAGAGTAGTCTTTCTTCAAAACTGATTCACACCACTGGAAGAAACTAGTGAATCTGAACAAAGTTCATGTCCTGATCTCAGAGAGGGACCTGAGACCAGATCCAGATCCAGCTCAAAACCAAAGCAAGTCCAAAGAGAGACTTTCAAGAATCAAGAAATGCTGATCATCACATATAAAATGGTGAATGAGATCAGAGGCTTCTGGAACAAGAAAAAAGTCAAAGTTCTGAGTTTTGCTGATAAAGTGTCTGACCTCACAGAGAAGGTTCTGGAAATCGCAGCAGAATATCCAACTCTGAAGACACTCATCATTCATACAGGAAGCGATGAGGTTATGAACCGACAATCAGAAATCCTGAAGAAGGATTTTATTCTGCTGCTGAATGCAGTTAAAAATCTCAACATGGATGTGTTCCTCAGTGGGCCAATCTCTACAGCCAGAGGAGGAGCTGAGAGGTTCAGCAGACTGTCTGCTTTTCATAACATTTTGGAAAAGTCCTGTGCTGACCACTCTGAGATTTGTGGACAGCTTTGATCTCCTTTGGGAGAAACAGCATCTGTTCAAGTCTGATGGACTGAATCTGAATAGAGCTGGATCAGAGCTGTTAGTTTCAAACATGAAGTATTTCCTGAACCAAGTTCTGGCTGGAACCAAACAACAGGAGAGTGATCAGCTGACGTCTGAGGCTGAAGGACAACAGGAGAAAACTGAGATATCGATAGAAAACAATGTGCAAGTGGCTGATAAGAATACTGCTGCAGAACCAGAACCACAGAGGAGTTACTTCAAGCTGCAGAACTGGAAGAACATCTGGATTCAGCTTCACAAACAGATGATCTGGAAAAGGAGCTTCCCCAGCCTACAACTGGAGAACAACTGACCATTACTTTTCCTCCAACAGAGAACACCAAACCATCAACTGAGAACAGAGGATGGGATGAAATTGAGAACCCTGTTAAACAAGAAAATGAACATTTGGATTGTCGCACAAAGCTCTGGAATCTCTGGGCAACAAATAAAAACAAATGGACAGAAAAGAAGAAACAAGAGTTTAAAGAGAGCATATAAGTGGGAGGACAGGAGGAGTTACAAGAGTGGAAAAAGTAACGAGATTGATCATGCACTGATGAATATTTTTATGTCTGGGAGGATTAAAAACTGAATTTCTGGGGTTGGGAAATGTTTAGAAATATCCTGATGTGACAACAGATGTTATAACTCTTGTTATAAAGTTTTCATAAAATTTCCTTATAGTTTTGACATATTTTATGCTTGTCAAAGAGAGGGAAATAAAGGAAATTTTGTAACTGATTAACTGATTATTTGATGTAGTTTTGTATTTTATACTTTCTGATCATTCCAGTCTTTAGGGTTAAAGCAGAGAAAGAGTTGGTGTGTGTCTTATCATGTGTTCTTTCTTTAGCCTAAACAAAAATGAGTTACGTTCTATTTCTGACGTAAAAGGTAACACCTCCAGGGATGTAACCAGGGAGASATGTGCATTATAAGGTCAATTCATTATTATAGTAGAAAGAAGTTGTTAGTTTTTTGCAGAGTCTCTCAGAGCTGGGCTCCTGTGTTTTGTTTTGGTTCAGCCCAAGGTCTAACACTGAGGCCTGCTGGATGCTGTACTGTGAACCTGATAGGAGTCAGWAGATTGAGAATAAAGTTTTGACAAGAAATCAAGTTCAAGTTGGAACTCACATCCCACTCATCATCAATGACAGTGCTGTGGAGTCTGTGAAAAGCACAAAGTCCCTTGGAGTGCACATCACAGATGACCTCAYATGGACTAAAAACACCACCTCCCTGGTCAAAAAGGCTCAGAYACGACTCCACTTTCTGCGGAGGCTGAGAAGAGCCAACCTCCCCACATCTGCTCTCACCACCTTCTACAGGGGTGCCATTGAGAGCATCCTGACCAGCAGCGCCTCTGTCTGGCACAGCAGCTGTCGAGCTGCAGACAAGAATGCTCTCCAGAGGATGGTGAGGACGGCAGAAAAGATCATCAAATCA